ATTATGTTAAATTTTCTTTACTACCTTGTTTGTATTAATACATTATATTATTAAATAATCATTTTAATTATATCATAAAGTATTGTAATTGACTAATTTTTCAATTAGTAATTTTACATGCTTATCATTTTATCAGCAAATTTTTGTTAAATATGATTTATTCATCAGCTATCAACTACCTTATCAACCATTAGTTAACGTATCAGTCATCAACCATCAACTAGTTTATCAATTAAAAATAACCTAAGAAATAGGGAGAGAGGTATTTTGTAATGAAAAAAATATAAGCATATTTTTAAATAATCAAACATTAAAGTATACTAGAAGGGTACTCGTACAATGCAGCGAGATAAATCTTGATTTTAATATTTCATTTTATTCTTTATTTCATTCAATGTTATAGTATGGTCTTATGTGATTTTGAAAAAATGATGATGTTTTTATTTTTGAATAAAATATAAATTTGAAAATATCATAAAAAATATGACAAAAAATATATCGATAGTAGTATCAAATTAACTATTTAAAATTCATGTTTTTTGTGTAACTTTTAATTCAATTTTTTTTATTATAATTTAATTTAGGTTCAATAACGAAGTAATTTATATTTTGTTTAATAATATAATTTTTTTATAAAGATAATAATTATTTATTTTGTTGGAACTCGATAATTATTCTAATTATATTTTATATTTTTTATATTTTAAAATGAGATGTTTGTCATCTATGTGATTATGTTTATTCGAAGTTAGTTATACAAATTCAAACATAGAGCTTCAATAAGTTGTACTTATGCATAATTTACTTGTAATCTTGAATTTTAAGTAATATGCATTAATATACAATACTTTATGCATAAAAATGGTTGTTAAGAGTTTTTGTCAAATACTTTATAATATAGTATAAATTATTAATATAGTAGACCTGTTTTAGCATGAAAATTCAAGAAGAAAACAAAAGTAAAAATAGTTATTTATAATTGCAAAAAAGAATTCAAGACAAAAATGGGTGA